GCAAATGCATGTAAAAATGACTGCAAAATAAAAAATTAACACTAAAGTATCAGAGTATAGGTCTCCTTTACACAACTGACTAGCTTGGTTTTCTCAATCTCATCTCAAGCACATATTTAACCTTTATATGGGAAATAAATCTTTATATGGATTTCTTCAGTATCTCTAATTTAAATAAGAAGATGAGTAGTAGCATCAAGTAATTGTATTCTTCATATTCCCCCTCCCCAGTAGCTGTAAAAGTAAAATCTCCTCAAGAACACAACAGCAAGAGATTATTAGTTACATCTATTCACATTCCACCTTGATTTCTGCTTTCCTTCATAAAGATGAACTTGCTAAAATCTTAGAAGAAAAGTTACACTTTTGTAAATAAACTGCAACATTTTAATCTCTGGAGCACAGTCTCTCTCTAAACAGGATGTCTGAAGTTTGGAAAATTAAGATGACTTGAATCAGCTAGGTATGTGTTAGATTATATATATTGTATATAAACATAATAAATACAAATAGAAAACTCAAATCATAACAAACTTCTGTGGGTGGAAGATTAAAAAAACACAATGATGCTTCTGTTGAGCCTTGTGTTTAAAAACAAAAAAAAGCCATGAAACAATATTAAGCAAGAAAAAGAAATCCACTTTGCTTGTCCCTGCTGCTCTATCTTAAACGGCTAATCCATTCTGTTAATCTAATCATATCAGGGAAATAGCCTTAGACACATCCTTGTCCTAAGAAGGGCCATCTATGGGAAAAGCTGGTTTCTCACACAGGGTCAAGTCAATTACTCGAGCTCTACAGTTTTGGACTGATCACTCCCTGCAGCAAAAGCCCGTCATAGCAAAATCAGGGAGATGACTTTGTAACCACGTTGGGTCCCACAGTATGTACTCAGGCACAGCAGTCTATAGTTACACTGCCTTTGGGTGGTACATTCAGTATTTTCCTGCGGCATCAGCTAGTAAACTCTGGAGATGTGAGCTTCATCACAGAGCCACCTGCAGTGTCACTTACCTCACAAAACCAACAGTCTTGTAAATCACAGTATAAAAACTCTGAAAGATGCTGGACAGAAAGTACACTGGTTTATCAACACACCACCATAATCATTTTGTCTTGCCTGCATCCTGTCCTTCAGCATTTGAATCACACAGATTCTCCCCACCACCTCTAGATCTCAGTTCTCCATCACCCGTTTCAGAGAACACCAAAGGGTCCCACTTGTCCAAAATCTGAAAGTGTTATTTTTAATACACAAAATTTTTATCAGTTTTCAAAAGAACAATGGTCCAATCATCTGAGAAGTACCAAAACTTCAAAACTAACTGGAAAGGAAGTGAAAGCACTGACAAACAAAACAGCCTGGAAATAGCTCATTTCTTGTGCAAATAAAACCTGCCCTCTGAAATTATTTTTACTTCTGCATATTGTATTTGACTACAAAAATTAATTTCCTCCTACTGTAAACACAAAAAAAAAGGGGGGGATAAATGGCAGCAGTATCAGATGTAAGAGGAAGAAGACTTTCCTGTTACTTAATAACTATCAGTAGACACAGAAAAAAGAAAAAAATTATCATGTGAATAACTTATAAATACCCACACTACATTTAAAAAGCTCTACCTTTCTAGCAAGTTGGATCACCTTAAATCCATTTCTCCAGTGATTTCTTGAGGAACACCTTTCTCACCAGTCCACGTAGTTAACTTTTCCAGTCTTGTCTGAATGTACATAAGGTGTAAAACTAAATAGTGAAATCAGCTTAAGGGAATCTAACAGGAGTTCTGCCACAGATTTAATCTCTTTGTATAAGTTTATCCTATGCCTAAATTTATTAAAAGCCTGTGTGTACTGACAATTATTAGCTGACGGAAGAAAATATATCTTTTGTCTGTAAATTGCAAATGCTCTGAATAAATCTCTTAAATAGCTGTCAGGGCATATGCGTACATGTGCACATCTGTGTTAAAAGCATATAAGGACTTTGAACCACACAGGGAATAAATATGAACTATATGTAAAATATTCTTATTTCATGAGACCCCACATGGAGTACTGCACCCTCCTCTGGGGCCTCCAACATAAGAAGGACCTCAACCTCTTGGAGTGAGTCCAGAGGAGGGGCACAAAAATAAAGAGGGCCAGAGCACCTCTCCTATGAGGACAGGCTGAGAGAGTCAGGATTGTTCAGCCTGGAAAAGAAAAGGCTTTGGGGAGACGTTATAGCGGCCTTCTAGTACCTAAAGGGTGCCTACAGGAGAGATAGGGAAGGACTCTTTATCAGGGAGCATAGTGACAGGATGGGGGGTAATGGTTTAAACTGATTATGATTAGAAATCAGGAAGAAATTCTTTACTGTGAGGGTGACGAGACACTGGAACAGGTTGCCCAGAGAAGCTGTGGATGCCTCAACCCTGGAAGTGTCCAACGCCAGGCTTGATGGGGTTTTGAGCAACTTGGTCTAGTGGGAGATGCCCCTGCCCATGGCAAGGGGTTGGAAATAAATGATCTTTACGATCCCTTCCAATCTAAACCACTCTATGAGTCTACAATGCAATTATCTTTCCAACAAAAAATTCTAGCTGAGGACAACAGTGTATATCTGATTATGCCTCAAAAGAGTATTTTTGCTGTAGTACTGTTAAAAAAAAAAAAAAAAAGACATATTTCTTTCAAAGTAGAAGTACTTGTCTTTAATACAATGACCTAAAACAGCCAAAAGAGCTTTGCTGATGATTTGCAAAAGCCAAGTTTAATCAAATACTGAGGTGAAAAAGGTTCATTCAAAATATCAAATTGAAAAATACCTTAGAAACAAGATGCACTCTTTTGTAACATTAGCAAAACAATTGCTATTGAAATCCAAATGAAAGAAGCCTACACTGACAAGTGGGCAGAATAGTCTAATGGATCCTTTTCTGTTTCTTTCTTAATGATTTATCACTTTCACTAATTGTGTTGGCAGTCTTGAAAAATTCTGTTCTATAAAATGACAAGTTGTCTTTACCACAGCCACATCCACACTAAGAAAAGAGGGCGGGAGGGAACACATCTCTGTTAGTCAGCTTCAGTGACAATTATGAAAGGCTGAATTTTCTTCTTCTTGTTTGGTTCTAACTGTTTTACACTGTATTCTTGTTACATAGAAGCATGGCATGAATACCAAGCTTCACCAATTTCAAAAGAATCCTTCAGTTTCTCTACCTAGATCATTGCTAAAAATCATTGCCCCCCCCAACCCCCACGCCCCAGTCCTGGGTCTGGATTCTCAAATACAGCTTCAGAAAAGAACTACTACTTGTACTACATTTTGTGGTTTGTGCAATTAACTTCAAATTTCCATACTTTATTTTGTTGTGTATTTCATACATAATACAACTAAACCAATTAAGTTGAGAGGTGTATTAATTTCTAAGCAGTAGCATTTCCTCACACAATCTTATTTCCCCTTAGACAGAACTTCTCCAGAGAATACCTTCTTTAAGAGGTACGGGGGTTTTTTTGTCCAGATTATATCATACCAAATGATTTGTAGAAAGAAGGAATAATCTATCTATTTTATTATTTTCTCACACTGAGTGAGACTTTCCACCAGTATACTACTTCTTCAACTGCCAACAGATTTTAAAGAATCCCCAAAGGATACGGAACTACAAGGCATCAACCAAGATAGCATAATTCAATTACCATGCCTCAAAAAAAAAAAAAAAAAATCATCTCACCTGCAGACTAAGAAACTCACCTGAACCAAATTTATTTTAAAATACTTAATTTCTCAAGAGTTACCTAAATATTGGCAGTATCTATCACTAAAGGCTAACTGCACAATTCTGAAATAGTCTTGCAAATACAAAACACCTTAGGGCTCTTCCCAAGTGTAACTCGGATAAATTAAGCATATTGTATTACCCTTTATTTTAGTACCACTGCTCTTTCCCAGATATAATAGAGCTGCTTTTGTTTTTCCTCCCTATCTGTCTCTGCTAACGTCTCAGGGCTTCAATAAGAAGGCTATAATATCGGATCTACAGTTCATAACTCAGCCCTCCCCCAGCCCCCCCGCCGCCTTCGAATACTGAGGGAAACCAGCAAAAGGTACTTTAATCGTAATAAAGAAAGCCCCACAAAAGAGCCAAGAAAATAAACGAGCAATACTGGCCGAAGGGAGGAGGAACGTGGAGAGGGAGGGGGAGGAGACACTTTTAAAAAGCGAAATACTGGGAATGGGGTGAACTTATTTAACCCCGTGTGCA